TGTTCCTTTAATGTGATATGTTAACAAAGGTGGAACGTTTTGCATCCAACATTCTAAGGATGTGTTTTGGACGTTGTTGGGTAACTAATTAAAGATGTTCTTTATAAAACATTCCCTCAATGTTACATGATAACCAAAGAAGAACATTTTGAAAGCAACATTTGGATAATGTTTTCAGGAGGTTATTCTTTTTTTATAAAACGTTCCTATGATGCGAAATATTAACACGTTCATGGTCAACGTCAGATTTATTTGTAGTGCGCTTTTAAAAAAACAAACTTGTTGCATTTGTTTGAAAAGGATGTTTAAAAAAAATCTGATGTCACCACATGTTCCTTTTAAAAAATAAAACAAGCACGTAATTCATGATATTGCATGTTTGCGTAGGCATGTCTGAGTTCTTAAAACATTTTGAGAATGTTACCATTCATTGTTCTAGGAATGGTTTCATCGAGAAGTTTTATTTTGGTTCCTACTGTAGAATGTACTTCTGAAAGGTAGGATAACGTTCTCTAAAAACATTCTTAAAATGTTTGGTGATAACATTGTTCGAACATTATACCCCAAGTGTTTTTGTTGTTTATGCACATATCTCTATTGCCATATGGATCGAATAACACTTAGAAAACCAAAGACAGACATATAGAAGAACGGACCGACTATCACTGCCTGTCCCTTAAACCCCTGTGAGTGTTTGTATGTGTTTGTTTCTACTGTGTGTGTCTCTCTCTCCCCCCACCTGCCTGCTGGTCTGCTCTACACGGCTGGGAGCAATCTCCAATCCACCACACCTGCAACCTGCTCATCAGCCACACTATGAAAGCCTGCAGCAAGGGCACCGGAAGCGGGGGGGCCAGGGGGCCATTGCCCCCCCCACTTTTCAGCCCTGCCCCACATTTTCGCAGCGGCGGCTGCCGTGTACAAATCCCGTTTCAATAATTCCCCTCTATTCTAAAGTCACATCTAAAACGCGATCTGATCTAGCTGTGTATATTTTGTTATTTTTTATTGTTATATTCAATCTCATTAGCTACAGGCATTTTTGAAGCTTGTAAAGGGAAGATAACAGCTCGCCTCTCACTCGCCACTCTGCTCTTCCACAGCGCCGCTCCCCCTCCCTCCCGCTGAAATTATGAATGTAAGGCGTATAGTAATCATAGATAACACGGCAGGGTCCGTTACAGTTTTTTTTATATCTGATTTCAATTAAACAAAGTCTTGGCTTTCAGAATATTAAACTTGTTTCGGGAAAATTCAGATGATAAATACAACTTAGAAGCTTGTAACGGCATAATTACAAGCAGAGAACGGAGTAACTTTACGTCACTGCAGGCATAATAACTGAGGTTACCTACTGTAACCCCAGCTTCTATGAGTGTTGGCGAAGCCCTCTAAGGCTATCGCTATTGGGTTATCCCCCTGCGCCCCCGCGCAGCACTGAAACACTTGTAGTCCACGCCCACCCGCTAGGTGGGCCCCACCCTCGGGCCTCCTTCCGGTATAAATAGGAAGGGGGCCCGGCAATCTGCTCCCATACAAAATAACTTTTCTTCAGCTATTCGTAGAGCCAGTGGGGCCCAGCACAGAGGGCTGCGCCATTTACTCATAGAAGCTGGGGTTACAGTAGGTAACCTCAGTTCTATTTCGTATATGGCTTCGCCCTCTAAGGCTATCGCTATTGGGTTAAGGGCGAAGAATTATGTAGTCTGCGCCCCATTGGGTCCGCCCGGCACTAGAAGCACAGACACACCTGCTCAATAACACCCCCTGCCTGTTGTGCCATGCGTAATGGTGCATCACCGTCCCTGGAACATAGCAAAACATGCCTGTCTTCCCGACGGGGTGAAGGCTGGGAATAATACATACCGGCCGCTGTGAAAAAGTAGAGACGAAGGTCCCACCTTGTCCTGCGATCATAGAGGGGGAACAGCAGCTCTCTGCATATCAGACAGGTAGGAGAGCGCCCAGCTGGATCCCTGACGTCACTCACTCTGACCAGGCACTCCGTACAAAGTGTGTCAGAGGAAAAAGGAACCTCCCTCCTATAAGAGGGATAACGGGGCCGCTCTCCGCGTGCCGAGAGGCAGGAGAGAGGCGCACAGCTGGATCCCTGACGTCACTCACTCCGACAGGACACCCAGTACAGGGTGCATCAGAGAGTAATGGGAGACATCCCTCAAATAAACATGAATAAATGAACAGGGGAAGACCAAGATGCAGCAGTGCAAATATCTTCCACTGACATTCCTCCGTGCAACGCCGTGGAGGAGGAAATTCCTCTGGTGGAGTGCGCCTTGATATTCTCTGGGGGCTCCACCCCAGAGGAGACATATGCCTGTGACACAGCTTCACACAGCCAGTGTGACAGCCGTTGTGCAGACAGAGGTTGCCCGATCGAGCGCTCTCTATAGTGCACAAACAGGCGCTGAGAACGGCGCCAGGCCGCCGTGCGCGCTACATAGCAAGACAGCGCACGCACAGGACAGAGGAGATGAGACGTGTCTTCTTCCTCCGACCTGTGAGGAGGGGGGAATAAGCCAGCCAGGGTGATCACTCTTGACCTAAAAGAGTTGTGATGACCTTAGGCATGAAGCCGGGTAAGGGCGTAAAACAGCTGAACCTGCCATCGCCTTGGATCCGGAGACATGACAGAGCCAGAGAGAGCAGACAAATCACTCACCCTTTTCTTTGATAGAGCCAAAAGCAGTACTACTTTGGCTGAATACAGTTTAAAGGGAACCTGCTCAGGTTCAAATGGGGCTTTGCTTTAGTGCGCGTAACACCAAAGCCAAATCCCACTGAGGCGCCAGTGTGCGTGACACAGGTCTGAGTCTCCGTACTCCTCGCGTACAACGGCTGCTGCGTTCTGCGAGCCCCTCAGTTAATTTCGCCGGGAATATACATTGCTCTGATGGAGAGCAACGTGTGTGCGCGCCCAGAACAGCAGCCGCCTGGCTGCGTTCAGAAGCTGCGCAGATCGTACTCCTCCCTGGCGATTGAGGTAGGCTGCTTCCATAGCCGTGGCCTGTTGTCTGTGCAAATCAACACATGTTTGATTGTACAGTAACGGGGCGACTCCCCCGTTCTTTTCCGAGATTTAGAAAAATAGCGGGGGTAAAAACCGCGCAAGACACTGTTCCTGGGATGACAGGAGTGTTTCTTGTATCCCATGGAACTGCTGGGGGGAGAGGCTTCTCTGTGATGTGACGTAATGGTCATCATGGTGACGTGCCATGCCATCGCCGCCGCATGCCCATGAGGCAAAAGGGCTGCGAGGGAGTTTCCACACTCTGCATTTCACTCCGTCTCTCATCATGAGGCGCGTACACGCCCAGGGGATGAGAGGTGTGTACTGTGTATGCTGTCCACACGAGGCGTTATAACGGTGCTCGTGGATTTATTATGACCGTGTGTAGGAGGCATATCTGGGAAAGAGGAATGCCGCGAGCTCTGCAGTTTATAAACCAATAGGTTAAAAACAGCAGGCGAATGACCCACCTCTGGAGACTCCACCTATGGGGGAGACCCAGGGGGATCCCCACGTGACCAGCTGACGCCAACGCCGGGCAGCTGCGTCACGGAGAGGGCTGTGCGGGTTTGTGACATGCCAGAGGAGAGCTGTCAGTTTCTCCACTCACTGCCGCGAGAGCCGCGCTCTGCTGCTGGCTGAGTTTAATTCCACTATCAGATAAACGATTGTCTGAGAGGGAAGAGGACAGCTTTTCTTCCAATTCATTATGAAACCCAGGCTTTGACAGATGCGATACGAATGTAACGTCTGTAAAGCGACTTCCTCCCTGGAGCGAGCCAGCAAATAGCAGGTCGTCCAGAGGAAAACACACTCTCATCCCTCCTCTGTGTAGTGGCTCCAGCCTTCTATACACAAAAAATGCGAGAAGCCAGGAAATATCCAAACGCTATTTCCTGTGTTTCGGGATGATGGGTACGTGGAAGTATGCATTCCTGCGCTGCCCGTGAGGCAACCCAAGGTGTGCTTGGACCGAAAAGGCTGCGCGGGGGCCTCCACACGCTGGATCTCACTCCGGCTCTCATCATGAGGCGCGTACACGCTCAGGGGATGGATGGAGGTGTGTGCAGTGCTGTCCACACGAGGCGTTATAACGGCGCTCATGGGTTTATTATGACCGTGTGTAGGAGGCGTATCTCGGACAGAGGAATGCAACGAGCTCTGCAGGTTATTAACCAAGGTTAAAACCGGCAGGCTTCTGCCGCGAGCCCTGCTGTCTACTTAATCAACAGATTAGTGGCAGCCGGCTTAATTAGCGAGCTCTGCAGTTAATTAACCAATAGGTTAAAACCAGCAGGCTTCTGCAGCGAGCGCTGACGCCGTGGCGCTGCCGCTGGGGGCACTCAGCCTGTAATGGTCGTCATGGTGACGAGCCACGCCATTGCCCTCGCCGCCGCTGCCCGTGAGGCGAAAGGGCTGCGAGGAAGCCTCCACACGCTGCGTTTCACTCCGGCTGTCATCATGAGGCGTGTACTCGCTCAGGGGATGAGTGGAGGTGTGCGCAGTGCTCTCCACATGAGGCGTTATAACGACGCTCATGGGTTATTATGACCGTGTGTAGGAGGCGTATCTCGGACAGAGGAATGCCGCGAGCTCTGCAGGTTATTAACCGATAGGTTAAAACCAGCAGGCTTCTGCAGGGAGCCCTGCTGTCTACTTAATCAACAGATTAGTGGCAGCTGGCTTAATTACCGGCTCTGCTTCCTCGGAGGCTCTCGCGGAGCAGACCAGGAGCGGGGGAGCCTCACTCCCCTTTGACTCGTCGCCGGGAGACCCTGTCTCTGGGGTGGTGTGGGAGCGGAGACGTGGGACGGAGCCCCTGCAGCCGCCGAAGGGCGAGTCTGATGTTGAGGCGGTTGCTGTGGGCGGTTGCTGTGGGCGTCTCCCGCTTGCGGCCTCCTGTGGCCGGCGTGGACGCCGCAGCTGCTGCGAGTGCCGCTGTGGGCGCTCAGCAGGCTGGAGCCAGCTGTACATGCTGGCGAATGCCGTCCGCCTGTTCCGATTGCTGATTGGAGCGTCCAGTAGCACTTTTCTGGCCATCTCCGTAACAGACGCCTGCTTCCGCCAGAGGTGGCGCTGGATCTGTGTCACCCACGCGGAAATCCTCGCCTGGGAGACAGCAACGGACGCGCACAGAATGAGCGCCGTGCTGGCCGCCTTGCTGATTTCCTCTGCCTCGGTGGTGGACCGCTCTACCAGTGTCACCACCGAGTTGGAGAGCAGCGCAATGTTATTCGCCGCCGCGCTGTGGTGACGGAGAGGGGGAAAGCATGTTCGGGCCGCCAAGCTGGCACCCCTGCTCCGACTCTGTCTCCCCCGTCCGGGGGAGAGGAGGGAGGGGAGAACCGAACGGTGAACCGTGGAGGGAGGCGGGGCAGGAGTTGCTTTTCTTCAGACTCCTGCCCAGCACTCGGCCCCAGGGACACTAGGCCCCGTCCGCGGCTCGTAAGCCTGGACAGGCCAATCGTCCTCCTCGGCCGCAGCAGCAAGAGCGTCCGCTCTCCGCTTCCTGTCGCCCGAGGGGAGACGGGCGCAGTGTGTGCATGCTACCTGCTGGTATAGAGCTGCGTACACGTGCTCCGACTCCAGGCAGGATTCGCATTCTGCTTTTATCTCTGCTGGTCATAATTCATTATGAACCCAGAGCCACATGAGGGACAATCACGGACGCAGTTGTTGCTCATGATGATTCTCAATTGCTGTGCTTCAGTACTGTGCTGGTTGCTGAAGAAAAGAGGGAGCAGATTGCCAGGCCCCCTTCCTATTTATACCGGAAGGAGGCCCGAGGGTGGGGCCCACCCAGCGGGTGGGCGTGGACTACAAGTGTTTCAGTGCTGCGCGGGGGCGCAGGGGGATAACCCAAGAGCGATAGCCTTAGAGGGCGAAGCCATATACGAAATAGAACAGCCGGTGTTTCTCGTGAGTGTTTTCTCCGGGAAACAAACACAACACACACAAACGCAAAAATATACAAACACACACGTACACGGCACGGAACACTGTACAAATCCCGTTTCAATAATTCCCCTCTACTCTAAAGTCGCATCTAAAAAGAACGCCATCTGATCTAGCTGTGTAGGCTATATTTAGTTATTTTGTATTGTTATATTTAATCTCATTAGCTACAGGCATTTTTGAAGCTTGTAAAGGGAAGATGACAGCTCACTCGCCACTTTGCTCTTCCACAGAGCCGCTCCCCCTCCCCCCCACTGAAATTATGAATGTAAGGCATATAGTAATTAGGGATGCTCCGATCGCCAATTTCGGGGCCGATCGCCGATCGCTGGAATCAGTATCGGCCGATACCGATCGCCGAACCGATCGAGTGGGCGGGGCCTAAATGGAAGATTTAAACATCACTTTAAATCTTCCATTTAAAGTGATGTTTAAAACTCAGTTAATGGGGCTCATTCACTGGAGCTTCCACAAACAACAATCAACTTAATTATTACATTCAAATGATTTACATTATTCAAGTTTACATTCACTTTGGATAATAACACGGGAGAAATTAGCGGAAGCTCTCTCTCTCTCTCTCTCTCTCTCTCTCTCTCTCTCTCTCGACAGCCTGTCAGTATCTCATGCAGCTCACAGTGACCCGACAATGAAGAATACATATATTTATAATAACTAGTTTAGCTTGTTCCAGACCCAGATAGCAATTACCTTTGGGCCGGATCCGCACGAAAGCCTTTAGATCCGTTTGTAGCTCACACACGTTTTTTGACTGTGGGCCAGATCCAACCACATAGAGCTTTCAGCCTAAACATTCCATTTGCAAGCAGTGCAGTATTTTTGCTGGTTTACAGATTTGGCCCAGATCCGTAATACGTATTTGAGCCGCAAGCGCCAGAAATCATTGGAATGGAACAAATCAAAAATAATATGGGGGTGTAACGTCTTCATATATTTCTTTGATTATTGAATTGAAACATTAAAATAAAATAAAATATAACATTGAAAACTAAAAACTTAACACAAAAATAGTCTCCTACAGTAATGTGGCATTGTACGATTGAATTAAATATTAAACGATAGATTAATATGTTTTCATTACGCTAATGCCCACTATCCATAATCCAAGTAGCCTACTCTGAGCTTTCACAGCCAACGTTCGCAGGCGGCAAATTCACTCAATAATGATCAACTCAAGTAAGTATAGCCAACATTTTTGTTCTAATTTTCTATTTGTGGTTGGTATATATATGTATTATATGTGTATGTATGCGTCGATTGATACGCAAGTGACTCAAAATGCTGAAGTTTTTTGTCAAAACTCTGTTAGTTGATCATAGTTTAGATAAGCTAACGTTAGCGTTAGCCAGTGGATAGGATAGCAAGTTACAGCCTTGAAGAGTTCATATTAATTTAACAGTGGAACAGTATGTCAAGTAAAAAGCAGGATTAACGTATAACTTTAATATTGAACTTTTATTCGAATAGTGACGTTAATGTGAGTGGAGGCATTGTGCTTTTAAAGGCGGGCTCAGATGGCAGGAGAGTGGTTTGCTGAAGACTCAATTCGGCATTAAACTTGGTAACACACAAAAATAAGTTTAACTTGTAGTAAACTTAGACGTCGATATAAATGACTTATGCGACTATGTTTCCATCCCCACATGCGTATTAAATCTTACGTTTCAATTTGTATATTTTATATTTCAAGTATTTGCTTTTTACTGATCTTGTTGGGCATAAGTTAGCCTGAATGATTCACAACATTACGTTAGTAAATCTTGCTTAAAATGTATTTAATTAATTATGATAAATGAAATGAAATGTTAAGCCACTTATAGCGCTTCTTGATTCGTGTGTTGCTCGTTCACCAAAGTTAAATCTGTCCTGCCCTGTGAAGCCGCCTTTTCTGTGTCATGGAGTCATCGATTTACTTCAGCTTTAAGATTCGCTGTCATGTGTGTCCTTGTAATGTGCTATATGAATAAAAGACTGAACATTTGGAGGGTGTGCTTGTGCATGTGGGGGTTGGGTAATCGAGAAAGGTAAAAAATTGGGTAAAAAATTAAAGGAGTATTTGAATAATGGCACTGCTGGCCTCCAGTCTGAAGCGGAGGACCAGCCCCGAAAACGAAAACGGAGGGAAAAAAAGTATGCACACAATAGTTACAGTTATTGGTTATAATAGAACTATTGTTTCTTGTCACTCAAATATTACATGTGTTTTGACTAGATACCCAACCTACGAATCAGACACTGACTCTGAGCCGGTGGCCCAAAAAACGAGGGGTGTTATTCCGCAAAATGCGGCGACGTTACCCTTCATCCCACCACCGTGCTTCAGTAAGTCTAACTATGATGAGTCCACTATTGGTGGAACTTTTTTTATTAGTTTTATTGCACACACACTCACGTTTCGTTTATATGTTGATATGTTTCTATATGTTCCATTAGCTGCCAATTCTCAGGACCACCAACGACCACCACCACAACAACCCTGCATCTGTAAGTTTACCTTTCATGGCTCCTTTAATGGTGGCCGCTCATGGCTCCACACACACACTCACGTTTCGTTTCTATATGTTGATATGTTTCTATATGTTCCATTAGCTGCCAATTCTCATGACCAACACCACCTAAACGACATCAGCTGGAACACAAGGCGTCTGGGGTCTGTGGGTGAGACATTAACTGGTAAGAAGTTTCAGCCTAATGTAACAGGTTCATAAATGTATGTATAAAATATATATAAAGATGTGTGTGTGTGTATGCACCCACACACACACTTATATGCCAGTTTATTAGGTACATCTAGGGAAAGCTAATGCAGTCTATTACAACAGTCCTGCAATAAATACCCCTTCCTGATTTTTATTGAAAGAGTTTAAGAGAGATGGCGATTCAACTGTATGTTATTGCTGTTGATGTATTTATCTTATACACTTATATGTGTTGATTACTTTGTGCTGTGCCACTGCAAGTCCTGTTACTGCCGATTGCCAACACTGCCTCTCTTTTTCACGCTTTCCGTTGCTGTCCACCATCTATTAGGCAATGGCATTTTCACAGTTACTCCACCTGAAAGACATCCACCATTTATGAGTCCAGATTTCAGTTACCCTGAATTGTCCACATTAAATGGTGAGTTTTTAGTGCAAATACATATCCTGAAGTGTACATGGAACTATTCTAATACATAATTCTCAATTTTAGGCCCACACACTACCAAAATCAATGGCATCATGAAGTATGTCGACCAGTGGGGAAAAAAAGTATTTAATGCATAATTTTGATTCAGTAAACATAGATCCAATGCGGTTATTCATAGGAAATTTTGACAAGACATTGGTATTTACTCAGGATTTCTTGAGTTAATACCAAAGTCTGGTCAACATTTTCTGTGAATAGCCATATTGGAAATACGTTTACTGACAAAAATGTTGATGCGTTGAATACTTATTTTCCCCACTGTATGCAAAGCTATACTGTAAGAATATTTTTTTTGTTGAACCTATAAATCCTTTAATTCAATGCTAGACAAATGATGTCAAATACAAAAACATATAAATACTGTATATTTCTTAAACCAGTCTTATAAGTATTACAGTCTTTAAGTTGATATGTTTGTGTTGCCAATTTCTTTTCTTATTTATTTATAATCTGCTAATCACTATTGATTTGCCTTTTGCCAAATAGCCAGCGACGGTCGGGACCAAGGAGGCAGGGGTCATTTCACACAATTAATGGGGCCCACAACACCCAGAAATGAGCATGTCTTCAGGCCCACATTTAGGGTTGGGGATGATAGTGGCCCGATTCCCTGCACAGGTAAGACAAATCGTGATAGTATTGTATCTTGAGTTACTCTGCGAATCCAACCCACACACATTTCCCCTATAATAGTATATTTTGAATGGTTAGGCTAAGTTTTTAATTTAGGAGTGATATCAAAATTCTATTAACTGACTAAGCATTATATGGTCTTGCCCTATCCAATATCTTTATTTTTCCACATTATTTCAGCTGCAGAGCTGCATGGCCTGTTGCTGCTAGAAAATAGTAAGCAGCAGGTCAACCAGTTAGCAGGAGCTTTAGACATTTTGATGGCGAAAGTAGGATCAGGCCTGCATGCCCCAACCTACGAGATGCCCGAAGAGTTCCAATTCCCCCTCGACAGCGATGGGGAATTGGAGCGTTTCGAAGAGTGGCCCTCTAAACCCTCTAAACGAAAGAATGAAGACAAATCTTGTAAGTATTTTTATGGGACATGTTTTCATATGCTCAATACAAAATGTTAGCCTTGTTTGTCTTTGAGTTTGTTGCAGTAATGTTGACATGTATATTCAGTTCAGTTTCCATTCTCCACCTAGGCGACTTCGCTCTCCTCTGTTGGAGGGGTGGACACTAAGAGGGTTGTGTGGAATATTCTGGCAAGAATGATTACTGCACCGTGACACGCAGGATCAATTGGAACGGAGTAAACGGCAAAAGGGCCTTCAATAAAATGGCCATGAAAATCGTTCTTTTCCGTAAGTGTCTTTCCAAATGTTTATTTCATCATAATGGTGTAAAAAGAATTAGATTGGCCTAGTTGAATTAGATTGCATTCACTCAATTTCCATCTTCTCATTTAACAGACACTTCTATCCTACAGGTAAAGTTTAAGCAACAGTTTGTTCTCTTGGAACTGAATCTATTACCTTAATCTTGTAAGCACTTTGTTTCACAACACTCCCTTAGCCTGTCAATCACTACCTTGTAAGTCTTTCACTTTCCATCTATGTGTTTGCATGTGCTGCAAAGTTGTTCTATTTGTTTTTACACTATGCCCATCATTGGCGGGCCAGGGGTTTTATGGTTAGGCCTTCAATGACGATTTATGTTTTATAGGACTAAAAAACAATTGTATCATTTTAGCATTTAAACGCACACTTTTCAAGCATTTTGACACAACATGTTAAACTCGGGAGCCCTACCAAGTTTAATCAAACACAAACCAAGTTTTACATTTTGCAACATGTTGCACATACAAATGTACGGAAGCCTGTTGCTGCCTAGCCAGAAAGAAACCCTGATCAGGATCACAATATTACATGAAAAGTGTATTGTTATAACAAGATGTTTATCATGTGATAACAATATATTTTTCACGTTATAAAGTTAAAATGTTAAAACGTGAAAAACATCACTTTAGCTTTAGTACAAATGCGCTGCTCGACAGAACGCTGCATGTATTCTTGTTTAATTTCGCCATCGGGTGTTACTCAAATGATTGGCAGGTGCTAATATGAATAATAATGTTGAATGTTCGTGTCGTAAATTATTTTGTAAGACATATCCTTTACCCATCCTGTAGCCTTCCTCCAGTTACGCTTCGATGCTAACTCTGCCTTGCAGGCCCTGGCCGTATTCTCCATGTGTGCGTGACAGTAAGGTAGCCAAGCCTTTCTGTTGTACAATTCGCGGTTGCTTGTGATTGACTGATTAACTGCTCGTGCCTTTTGGCATCACATTAGATGATTAATTAATTTGTGCGTGTCATGTGTTGCAACGGTCAGCAATTGTCTGCTCTACTGCACTGACTGGGAAATGTTCTATCGCCCCAGAAGAGAGGGGATGAACAGGAAGATAATTTCTTTCAATAACTATTTGTTTATTTTAAAACTATTCATACATTTTTATTTATTTTTAAAACACTGATGGAAAGTGTTTGTTTTTTTAACAAACAAAGCGAGAAGGAAAACGAGGAAGGAAGGATAATGAGAAGGAAAACAGACATTTACAGTAAACTAACATATTATGTATGAATGCAATATTTGTCTTAATTTTGGCTTAGCAGGCCCCTGACTGTCCGCCACTGATGCCTACTCTGAATGCCACCTCTATGGTCTCTGTCCCCATTGCATGTGCAGCATGTCTTAACGTTACATTCACCCACTGGCTGTCACTGGTCTCTGTTGGCCATTGCTCAATCACCTTTCTTTGTAGATGGCACTACAGTCTAGCAGTATTAGAACAGTGTAAGAACTTATTTTGTGTGTTTGTTTTACAATAGGTGCAGTGCGCAAATGCGCTATAACGAGTGCAGCGCTGGATGCAGACATATCCCAGCATACCATTCGCTGGTTTAACCTGGCAAGCGACAGGGAAGGGGGCCGCCAGGAGGGAGAGGAGACGTCAAAGCCAGGATACACTGCCCGTCCCCGATCGACAATATTAATTATTTTATCGTTTTTGTTTCGTTTTGTTTTTAAGTTTACAGTTCATGTTTTAATAAAGTTTCATGTTCACGTATACAGCAAAAATCTCGACGTGTATATTGTTATTTTATGTTTCTGATACCTTGAGTAAAGTAAGTGTCTGAAGTAAATACCACCACCATGATAGTTAGTTTGTTTGCTATGGTCACAGCACATTACCTAATGCCAAACATAATCTGAGGATTTACTTGGTAAACTCCAGACGTGTTAAACACCATCACATGTTATTCATCATTTACACAGTTCCTCCTTAATTTCGCTTGCCTAGCTCTAAGCTATTGAAAAGTACTTAACGTTTATGAATGTACCTCCTTCATTTGACTGGTCCAATAACTTTGGATGAAAAGTGAAATGGCGACACTTCCATGAAGACTTAAATATAGCCAATATTAGCACGGTTTAATGTGTTTAAATGCCGAAGATAAGGCAAAAATGGAAGTTGGCAGTAGTCTGGTAAGCGGATCCGTATCGCATATGGAACGCGGGTCCGTACCGGATCTGGAACGCGGAGTACCATATTGAAACGGAGCTGAACCAGTGCTGGCCCATATCTGCCGCAGATCCGTTTTGCGGATCCGATCCAGTTTCGGGCCGATGTGCGTTTGGACAACGGACCGAGTCCGTTTGGCGGATCCGGGCCAGATCGTCTGCTAGGTGCGGCCCAGATCCGGCCCAGTGTCTATTTGTTATCTGAGGAGGTAGATAAAATAGCTAAGTGTGTTAGGTCTAACTCTTACGGTACGTCCACACAGCAGCTTTTCAAAAATCTTGAAAATCTTGGAGCTGGGCGTGTCTGAAAGCTTGGGGATTTTTTGCGAGCAACGCGACCAACAACCAATCACATGAATCTCCTGCCCCCGACATACAAAGCAAAAAGCCCCAGGGATTTTATGCGAGCAATATATATATATATATATATAAACTCCCCAAACAGGCGAAAACCTACCAGTTTCACCCACTGTCTCTGCCACCTCCCTCCATGCCTGGTTCCTCCGGTTTGTATCCCGTTAATAGTTCTGGTCGTAAAGAACCGGGTGATTTGCTACCGTAATTTCTCGTTTGGAATATGTGGAAATGAACTGCGGTCTGGTTCTCCCTGTGTGTGTGTGTTTCGCTGCGCTTACCGGTCCGGCGGGCGGAGCTGCAGGATTTCTGCTTCACCGACGTTATTTTACTGTCTTTTTCAGACACCTTAAAATAATACCAGACCGGTGAAGCCATTTTGGCGAGCTTGTTTTGCTGCACACAGAGAAAAGTGTCATGTATGTTACGTCATGCGATCGGCTCTCGCGATCGGCATGTTTAGAGAGCACCGATCGATCGGTAGAGAGTGAGTATCGGCCGATCTCGATCGGTGACCGATCGATCGGAGCATCCCTAATAGTAATCATAGATAACACGGCAGGGTCCGTTACAGTTTGTTTTCATCTGATTTCAAATAAACAAAGTCTTGGCTTTCAGAATAATAAACTTGTTTCGGCAAATTCAGATGATAAACACAACTTTGAAGCATAATTACAAGCGGAGAACGGAGTAACTTAACGTCACAGCAGGCGTAACAACAGCCGGTGTACACAAAATACACAAACACACACGTATACACACACACACTCGCGAGTTTCCCCCAGACCAGTAATCCAAACGAAAATATCTTCCCTGAGTATTTTGATCATTTGCTCCGCTAATAATCAATCAGATCGATCCAGAGAAGAGGACACTTTGAAGGCCTTTTTCTCAAAATGATGACTCTAGTCATTATAGGCTAATGTGACGTATTTTGCTTAATATTTGGAGTACAAAAACAATCCTGATATCATTAGAAAGCTCGGAATTTCCTCTTTCCAACAGTGTATTCAAAATGTGTCTTCGGGTCAATGTGACTGATTTCGATAGAGCAGGTCACTTTGCATAAGGTAACATAAAGCAGGCAGACATAACAGGAAGAATATGTAAATGTTAACCCAATCAAATAGGACATTGTCACACCATTCAAATGTATCCATGTAAATTACAACCAATAAAAAAGCTTAGATTTGTTTATTTGTTACGTTGTTTACTTTATTTGTTAAGGGGTGGCCACAATCGCGGACATGCTGGCGGCACAGGGACGAGGCACACAATCCCTCTTCAGTGAAGTGGACAAGCTTCTACGGATATTTGACTGTGCCAATGCCCAATGCAACAGCTGAGCGGAGCTTCTCCAGCCTCCGTCGGTTGAAGACGTTCCTTCGTTCAACTAGTCCGAGCGCCGCTTAAATCACCTTCTCTTCCTCCACATCCACAAAGATTTGACCGACGGCCTGGACCTCAAAAAAGTGCTCCGGAGTTTCTGCTTTGCCAGTGAGCGAAGGGAGGTTTACTTTGGCAAAATCTAGGAAGATGAAGTAGATTTAGCCACGTGGGGATTTTTGTTTTGCTTTACCCTATGTATTGTGGGACCTTTGTTTGAAGGTTGCTCCACCCTCATCTGTTATTGGACATTTTAGTCATGTGATTTTAATTACACGACATCACAGCTTGTGTTACTGTTAACAAGCTTGTTATACGTTCTTTTCACAAGAATTGTTGTTTGGTTCGGTTAAATAAATAATTTATGTCCATTTCTTGAATTTCTTGAAATAAGTTTCATGAATTGCATTACCTGTAGCCAGAGGTAGGCTACCTGACCGGTTGTTGTATATATAAGACTATGGACTACGACATTTAGGTTGACCGTTTATTGAACACGTTGTTGCATACGCTCCGATGACAACACCAACAACAACACAACTGTATCCGGTTCACACATCCCAAAACTCCCGGTGCCATCTTAAAGGCACAGTCACACCTGATGTGACACATACATAACATTTACCCCCCCCCCCCCCCACCACAAGGAACCCAATTAACTTTTAGCTATCTACTCTAGATGAACTGGGTAGACTGCCAGTCACCAGCATAGCCATGTGGATTATTCTGCCACGCAACAGACTATGCTCTGAACATTACCCCTGAGAGTCAAAAGCTCACAATATAGTCTTCCAAGTATCTTGGTCTGACCCGGACACGGGCCGGATGAGCTTCAAAACAAACCACTGGCTCAACCGGCTCAGGTGGGAACCCGGCTGGACCCTGCAACTGCTCATCAGGAAAAACAAAGTCCCCGTTCTCTCTGGGTCCACGATGGGGGGTGGTGCCACCTTCCGAAGCCGGCTTGCATGCCACCGTGATCCGTCGGCCAGACGAAAGGTGGCTGACCCCAGTTGAGCGGTGACCTTCATCGGCG